ATCCTGGGCCTGCGGGAGACAGCCGCGGAGGAGCGGATAAAGGACGCCCACCGCCGCATCATGATCGCCAACCACCCAGACTCCGGTGAGCCCGCGCAAACAGCATGGAGTTGTGGCTTCGAAGCGCGGCGACGGAGTGCCAGCCAGGCATGTGTGAGACGCCCTGCCGTTGCCCGCACGCACGCGCCACACCCCATTTTATGACTAGCCCCACCCCTCCCGGCCACCGCAGGCGGCAGCAGCTTCATCGCCGCAAAAGTCAACGAGGCGAAGGCCGTTTTGATGGGCAAGGGCAGCAGGCGCGGCGGCTCTGTGTTCTGAGAGGGAGCGCACGCATCCAAACACCCTGGCAGCAGCGGCCAAGCACCTCTCGGCAGTGGCAGCAAGCGCCAGGCATTGTTGCTCGGCGGGCGCGCAGCAGCAGGAGCGGTGGCGGCTGCGGCTGCTGGCGGCGCCTTGATCCAGGGGGCAGCAGGGCGAGCAGGCTGGCGAGCCGGTGTTGGGCGAGGAGTGCTGACACCTCAGCTGTTGTTGGGTAGCTGCGTCGCAGGCAGGCTGCCGTTCTGCGCAGCGGCTGAAAGATTGCCGCACTGCCTAGCAAGATTCTTTGAGGGTGTCTGATTATTCAAATGAACACAGCATCTGCGCAGTACTGCAGTTTGTGTCTGAGCGGTCGCTGATGCGCAATTGCTCAGATATATGTTTTTTTTGCGTTGTTGCTGGGAGAGAACCGCCGGCCGGTGCAGCTGCAAACCACCATTTAGGAGTACAGCGATGTGCTTTGACCAGCATTGCTGCAGCTGGTGGGGTTTGCGATTATTCAAGCCGCGAGTAAGGCACACAAATGCGTGATGACCTTGCCCAATCTCTGGCTGCTTTTGTTGCCGCCCACGCGGGCTGTCAAGCTTGTGCGCACCGGCGTCATCATGCACCACCAGCAGAGTCATGGAAAGTTGCGACCTGGAACCCGGTGCATACGTGCAGTGGCACCAATAAAAACTCAATTGGGTGATCCGTGTGATCGCGACACTTAAAGGTGTCGAAATATCAGGCGCCCCATTTGGTTGACCTGAGTGCCGCAGGGCGCCAATCGCATGCCGTGTTGGAGGTTCAGCCGTCTGCGGCGCTGAGCACTCAGTTTGGGGGCAAGTATTCAAAAAGGAAGCAATGTTTGCAGCAGCCTAATGAGTTCACGGAGCGCTCAAGTGCACCACTCCGCCAGGGCAGAGTGGCGCTCAGTCATACGGTTTGGTGGTGCATAGATCTTACATTATAATCCTCCCACATCATGCGATGAGGGAGTTTTGACCCCCAAGCGCAAGCATTGGCCAGATCTCAGCTGCGGCGCCACATGGAGGTAGGTACCTGCACCACCGGCGGTGCATGCCTATGGCGCGCCCAGAGAGGAGATGCCGTATGCCTCTTGTCGTTCACGTAAATGACCATCGGCAATTTCATTTACTTTAGCAATTCGTTTGCATCCTATCCTTCGTGTAACATCCCGGACGGGGCATTTCGCGCACTTGCGTTTGCAGCGAGCCAACTCTGGCGTTCCGAGTAGTATATAAGGGTATAAGAGAGCCTTAAAAGCACTTCAAATGGGTCTGAAGGGCCGCAGTGGCGCTAATTGGCCACTGGTAAGTGATACCCGCTTCACGGCAGCTTTGTGTGGCGCCATACGTTGTGTGTCATGATCGCATATGATGTATATATTGCTCAAGGACTGACGCGGCGCACCACCCTCGCCTGCGGATGCCGCGCCTGCCCTCGCAGCCCGCGGAGTACGAGCAGCGGCCGCTGCTGCGCGTCGTGAAGGCGCTGCGGCAGGTTGACCACAAGCAGGCGCCGCCGGCGCTGCATCGCTGCCGGCACACCGGGATACAAAACAGCAATGGTATCAAATCCTGCTACCTGAACAGCGTGGTTCAGGCCATCGCGGCGACGCCCCCGCTGGCGGCGGCGATCGCGGCGGCGGCGGTGCCCCGCAAGACGTTCAAGGGCGCCTCCCCAAGCGCCGCGGCCGCGCGGCGCGTCGTCGAGCTGCTGCAGCGCAGCCTGCAGCTGCTGAATCAGCCCAGCAGCAACACGTGAGCCGCCGGGCACGCCGCTCGCTGCTTCGCGCGCGAACGCCGCCGCGCGCCTGCCCCCGCAAAAAGGGCCACGCCGCTGCCATCCTCACCGCGCACTGCCTCTCTGTCGGCCGCCTCGACTCGGGAATGAAAATCGCTGTCGCTGCGGCCCACATCCTCGGCTGATGCGTGCGCCCCGTGCGAACCCTGACCTCGACACCTGCCACCCCATCCCACACGCCCCCTACGTCCCCTTCCCAGGCGGATTATCACCCTGGAACCCCTGGTGTGCGCCCTGGGCGCCTTCCGCCCCAACGAGGGCTTCGTCCCCGGCAGCCCCGGCTGCCCCATCGCCGCGCTGGACGCAATCTTCGATGCCGCCAAGGAGACGGGCGTGGACCTGGACGAGGTCGTGGCGGCGCGCGGCCGCAGCGACGTGCTCTGCGACCGCGGCTGCGCGAACCGCGGCGTGGCGGCGGCGCAGCGGCAGCTGGTGCTGCTGCCGCCGGGCTGCGGCGGCGGCGGCGGCGGCGGGGAGGGGCGCCGGGCGGGGCTGGCGGCATGCCTGGAGGCGGGCGTTCCCCTGTTTGGCGAGGGCTGCCGGGTCTGCTATAGCGCATGCCTGGTGAGCTTGGCTGCCGGCAACACTTCAATTGGCCTGCTCCTCAATTGTGTGTCCCGCCGGTCTTTTCCTCAATTTCTGTTGCAATGCAACAGCACACAACAACACAGGGTTGATCAGAATCAACTCCGCTGTTTGTTTTGTTTCCTGCCGAAGTCGACTGTCCTGCTTGCATGCTTGAATTTCCCATCGACACCTGTGTGCGTCAAGCACGCAACTGCCCCATGCCCACGTGATCCAAAACCCTCATCACTGCCGCCCCCCCCCCCCCACGCAGGACGGCAGCGTGCAGCTGGAGGCCCTGGGCAGCGCCATCGTCGCCCAGATCCCGTTCGTGTCCGTCCAGTCCAACCAGATCTCGCCAAGATCTCTGGAGCCGCTCCTGGCGCCCGACTTCATGCCCGAGCGCCTCGACGCATCGTCGGCGCTGGGCGGCGGCGCGCCGCTGTGCACCGGCTGCAGCAGCCGCGGCAGCAGCAGCGGCGGCGCCAGCAGCGCGGGCGGCGCGAGCAGCGACGGCGGGTTCAGCGCCGGCGCCAGCAGCGACGGCAGCGGGGGCGCTCTGCAGTACGAGCAGTGCGCCGTGGTGCTCGGCTCCGCTGACCACTTCCTCGCCTGCACGCGCCGCGACGGGCGCTGGATAGTGCAGAACGACACCGAGTGCTACGTCGTCGGCCATGGCCGCATCGAGGACGTCCGACGCCTGGTCCGCACCCTGCGGCTGCGGCCGGTGGTCGCGTTCTACCACACAGACGCCCCGCCGGCCGCCCTGCGGCGGCGGCCGTGCGGCTCGTGCGGCGGCGACTCGCAGCCGCTCGACGCGGCGCCGGGGCGGGGCCTGCTGGGGGGCGGCGGCGATGACGAGGACGCTGACCTGGCGGAGGCGATCCGCCTCAGCCTGGAGGAGCAGGAGGAGCAGGGGGCCCCGCAGGCCGGCGAGGCGGGCGATGCGGCGGCCAGGAGCGGCGGCGCCCGCGGCGACGGCGACGCCGACGAGCTGCCGCCGCGGCCGACGAGCGCGTTTGCCTTCGTGTCGAAGAAGGCGCCGGCGCCGGCGCCGGCGGTCGCGGCTTCCGCCTCGGGCCGCGCGACGGCGCTCTCGCGCGTGCTGAGCCGCGGGCTGAGCCTGCTCAGCGGCAGCAGCCTGCGCGACAGCCGCGCGGTCAGCTTGGACGTCGACGCCGCGCCCGGCGCGGCCGCGCGTGCGGCGGACCCGGCGGCGATGGCGCCGGTGCGGGAGGAAGAGCCGCGGGCGGCGGCGGCCCCCGAGGCGGCCGCGCCGGTGTTCTACGGCCCCCAGAAGCGCACCGCCGCGCAGCGCCTGGCCGGCGCGCTGCACAAGTGCGACAAGGTGGCCAGGGGCGCGGCGCTGTCCGCAGAGCAGCGGCTGGCGCGCGCCAGGGAGGAGGCCGCGGCGGCCGCCGCCGGCCTCAGGGCGGCGCTCGGCTGCCAGAAGGGCGGCGCGGCGGCGCTGCAGGCGCAGGCCGTCCCGAGCGGCGGCGAGGCAGAGTTGGGTGGCAGCCGCGGCGGCGGCGCGCTGAGGCGGCTGCTGCCGTCCTGCCTGCGGCCGAGGGCCGCGTGAGGCAGGGCTGCCGAGTTTCTGTCAGGCGCTGGGCGCTCATCACCCAGCGGAGCATATATAGCTATGCGCCTCCGCCCAGCCCTGGTGGCTGTTGCTTGTGGCACAGCCCCACTTGTTGTTTGTTGCCTGTTGTTTGTGGCCGGAGCCAGTCAACTGCCAATCGTGTGGTCCGCTCATCACACAACATGCACCTCACCAAATAATGCTTTGGGACCGGTGCGCTGCTGCACGGCTGCGCCGAGGCCATGAGAGAGGGAGGGGAAGTCCGAGGAGCTGCTGCGAGTGTGCTGCGCATCCCTTGTGGGGCACATGCGAGCGGCGCTCGCCTTTCCAAACGGACGCGGGGCTGTGACGGGCGGCGCGACGGCCGGGCGAGCGCCTCAGGCGCCACGACCCCGGTGATAGCCGCCCCTCTGCCCCGCGTGCCGGCTGCATGCAGGCGGGTGGAGTCATGCTCCCCGCGGATGTTCTTTTTGTCATGGGCCGCCCTCACAACACTGGGGGGTGAGGTCCCTCGACCGCAGCTCTCAAGCCCATACGCTTGCTGCCTTATGTGGGTGCCTGATCTGGCGGCTTGGTGCCCCAGATTCGCACCTGTTTGGGGGGTGACGAGCCACCGTCACCCCTCAGCCACGGGAGTCTGATGGGCGGCGCGACGGCCGGGCGAGCGCCCCAGGCGCCACGACCCCGGTGATAGCCGCCCCTCCCCCACGCTGGATTTAGGTGGGCGGGTTTCCAGACCCCGCATTGCACACAAGTGGTTGTGCCTCGCCCACTTCTATTTGAGACGGCGTCCGTTGTCCAGCCTGGCTTTAACCCCCTCTTCTGTTTCAATGGATCGAGCCGCTCTGTGCCTACTGCTGAACCCCTCCCTCTCTCCATGCCTGTGCACACGCGCCGTTGCAAGCGCGCTGCTGCCCCTGTGACGTGCCTTGCACGCCCCCTGTTAGTCACGACGCCGTGTTGTTGGCCGTTGCTGCGAGTTCCCTCCACCTCTGGGCTTTACGACTCCCTGCCTCGGCGACTGGCATCTGGCCCCCTGGATAAAACCGTTCCTGGACAGCCTGTCAATTCCTGCCTTGACATGCAGCACCGACACACTGAACGCACGTGCAATGGGTCCCATAGAGCTTCCTGGTGCGCATGCGCATGCGCCGCCCCGCCAATCGTCACACTGCTGCCCGCGCTTCCACCGCCCGGCCGCCCAGCGCGCCGTCAAGGGCACGTGGACGCGGACTCACTGCATCCCGTTGAATGTTATGCGTTTGTAATACATCAATTTTCAGGTCCCCTGCTTTTGTTGCTGCCCCCCTCGGATCCGTGCATGCAGCTTTCTCATCCTGCTCTGTGCTGCCAACCCGCCACATGCGCTGAGGGCGTCAGTGCTGTGAATGGACCGGCATAATCACGTCCAGAGCCACAAAGCTGCCAGGTTGCATGTGTGCAGGGGTACGCAATCGCTGGGGTACGCAATCGCTGGATCTTGCTGGCAAGGGCGGCGGGACACACACACCCGTGCACACTCGCGCCGAGTCACCTGCCACCCGCATGTGACTGGCCCACATTGCCGCATGCTGGCATGCTGAATCTGCTGCGAAGGAGCTGCATCAAGTACCCAAGTCTGCCTCATTTGCTCAAGGATAGCTGTGAAGGCGCTGATCAGCTAGCTGCACTGGATCTTGTGATCTGCTGTGGACCTGCCAGCGGTGTGCTGGAGGCTGAAGTGGAGTATTTGTGGTCGTCTTGACAGGCACGCCTGGTTCCAGGCTTCAACGTCCGCGGCTTCGAAACAATCTGCTTGCTCGCTTTCTGTAAGTATACTGTACAGTGTCTTTCACAGGGACTGGGTGCTGGCGAGGAGGGCACATGGAGCCGCTCTGCTGGGCAATGCATTTGGCCAGCTTGGCGAACTCGACCCGAGCACACACCCTGCAGTGCCGATGCGCCTTGCTGGCGCGGCCGCTCTCGCAGGTGGCCCAATGCAGACCTGTGGCGCCCCGCAGCTGCGCGGGCCCCGTGCGCGCCCCCGCGCGTGCTCGTCTGCTGCGGCTCCGCACCCCTCCCGCGCCGGCGCCCCTTGGCCGACGGCGCCCGGCTCCTGCCGCGCGGCGACCGCTGCCCCCTCGCGGCGCTGGACCGTGGCCCGCGCCGCGCCGGGCCGCAACGGCGGCGGCGATGATGACGCGGCGGGCGGCGGCGCGTTTGGCGACAAGTGGGAGAACTTACTGTCGGTGCACCACACGCTATCGTCCCTGTACACCCCAAAGGTCCGCAGGCTGCGGCTGTGAGCGACGGGGCCGGCCGGCGCGGCTCCTCAGCGGAGCGCTGTCCACAACCGGCATCAGTCAGCCGAGGCAGTAGCGCCGCATGCGTGCGTGTGTGGCCCCCTCGCTGAAAGCTTGGAGCGCTGGGCGGGGTGTCAACCATTGCCACAGAGCAGCGCCCCCCAGCCAGCGCGTGTCGCCCGGCCGCACCGTTTGCATCCCCCCTTCCGGCGGCGCTGCCGATATTGACCTTGCCTTCGATCCGACCACCCCTGACAAGTCTGCACCTTCGAATCCCCGCCGTTCCTGACGCAGGTGACCCTGGAGCCGTTCAAACAGATCGACCACGCGGCGAAGCGGCGGGAAAGGGAGCTGCGGGAGATCTGCGAGGTGATCTAGCTGGCAGTCAGTCGAGATCACTGCGACGCGCCCAGCCTTGACCTGTCTGTCAAGCTGTTTGAACGTGCTAGGCGGCCGTGCAAATGCAGTCAGTTCGGCTGTTGTGTCGATTTAGAGGGTGTATGCGCATGCAGCATATGCTGACTAGTCAAAACGCGTCGACCGCCATCGAGCCATGAATTGATTGGCAGCTGCCATGCTGCCGGTTGTGGTGATTCGAATGCGCCTTCTAGCGTCGTCGCACTCCAGCTTTGATATGGTTGTGTCGCTCCATCGAAACTCTGCAATTCTCCAGCAACCCCCATTGGACCTGCAACCCAACATTGCAACGTTGCCCCCCTGCTGCCCATCCGCCTTCCCTGACCGTACAAACAACTCTCAACCCTCTGGCCCCAAAGGCGGGCCGCAAGCTGGGCGTGTCGGACGAGGCCGTCAGGGCCAACGCCGCGTCACTGGAGAGCCTGGTGCCTGGCTTGGCCCCAAACCTCGACAAAATGAAGGCCTCAGACTGGGTGAGTGGGAATGAATGGGAGGGTGCCAACAGTACCTTTGTTAGTGTGGTTGTTGCAGCTCGACTTTGTCGGGTGATTTTCGTGCATCACAGCAATCGCGTGCGTTACCACCGCCGGTCTCTTGCCGTCCCTGGCTCCCGTAGCTCCAGCCGTACGGCGCAGCGCGGGCCAACGCCACACAGGCCACCTGCCCTGGCGTCCCTCCCTGCCGTCTGCCTTTGGATCCACGCACGTGTTCATGCGTCTGGCACAGCGCCACCTCAGCAGAGTCCAGAGCAACTCCCCGACGCCTGCCCTACATCGCCACCACCCCCAGGCGAAGCTTTTGAAGGACACCAGCCGCGTGGTGGCCACAGTTATTGCGCTGAGGGGGGCGCTGCCCTCGGCCGACCTGGGTGCCATGATATCCCGCCAGCCGCGGCTGCTGCTGCGGGAGCCTGGCGCCCTGACAGAAGACGTGCGGCAGGTGGGGCTGGGGGCGATTGTGTGTAGTTTGATGTGCATGTGCATGTGCATGTGCATGTGCATGTGCAGTGCATGTGTGCGTGCACGCTTGGTCATGTAGTGATTCCATACTCGCGAATGTGCAAGTGCGTGCGCACACACACGTGCGTGTATCAAAGAACGTAGTCGTGCTTGCATGTGTGTGAGAGAGAGAGAGAGAGAGTGTGTGTGTGTGTATGCGTGCGCGTGTGCACGCACGCACCCACGCAAGCGTGCATGTGTATGTTGAGGGTGCATCTTGTCATCAGCATTGCGCCCTGCACACCAACCCGCCAACTGCTCATGCACCAGCTCCCCTCTGCCCCCCTCAATCCCTGGCTCTCGTTAGAATACGTCTCGAAACACCTTCGAAAACGCCCCTTGCGACGCCTTTCCAAATCGGCATCACCCCGCGAAAACCCACCCCTGCCAGGTGAAGGCGCTGCTGTCGCGCTGCCCCAACGTGGACGCCATACTGCAGGAGGTGCCCGACCTCATCAGCCCCCGCGAGCTGGAGCAGGTGCGCGGCGTGAGACATGGCGCGATCAGGCATGGGTGGCTTGGACACTCAACACACTTGTATGAATCGTGTCCTTCGTAATTGATGGATCGTGTCCCGAACAAAAATGCACGTTGCTCTGGCAGTTGGCAACTTGCTTGGCGCGGCCGCTCTTGGCCCTGACAAAGCCTGAAACCTGGATCTCAACACACACACACACACACACACTCTCTCTCTCTCACACACACACACGTACACACACACACGCACACACACGCGGGCGCGCGCGCCCACACACACACACATATATACACACACACAACCCGTACCCCCAGGCCCTGGCCAACTTGCGGCGCTGCTTCCCCAAAGAAGATGCCATGGCGCTCCTGCAGGTGGGGCGGACACACTTTGTTGGGCCTTGGGCTGTTTTGAATGTTGCAGGCCAGCGGCGCTCGTGCCCCGGGCAGCCGGCGCACCACCCCCAACCCCCCTTTGCCCCAAACACCGCGCGCGGTTGCCACTGTGCGTACCTGGGGCCTGCTGCATGCCGGCTGCTTGGCGGGGCACAAGGCACCTGCTGACCTGCCACGGCGCGCCGCGCTGATGTCCAGGGTTTCCCACCTCATACCTCAAGCCCCCGTAGCAGCAAGCCCTTGGACTTGTCCTGAAAAAGCGTGTTTCCTCTCCCTTGTCTGCCTGACAACACAAACGCCCACAAACATCCCAGGCCAACCCCTCGATCCTGCGCAACATCGGGGGCGAGGTTGACCTGGAGGCGGACCCGTCATACGGTGAGATGACCACCGCGGGGTGACGCCCGCCCACACAACATACAACAAACACACACCCACGCCAGGCGGCGCGGCCCGGGTGGCGACGGCCGGGGCCGTCTACGCGCACGTCTCCTCGCATCTGCGCGCACTGCGCTGGACGCTGCACCACATTTCCTTGGGCGAAGGGTCGCGGTTGTGAGGGCCGCCGCCATCTCATCTTGGCCTCACATGTTGACCGCTGTGCGGCTGTGTGTGTGTGGTTTTCATTGGGGAGGTTGGCTTTGGCACCCGCGTGGGGCCTGCCGCTTGTTTTCCCCCCTGCCTTCCCCTGATTGCGTTTCGGCTCCGCGGTGCACCTGTGCGCCTGCCCGCGTGGCAGGCCTGCCGACCAACGACCCGACGGCCGCGTGGCCTGCGCTCGACCCGGATGAGTGATGAGCTGGTCATGCCGTCATGGCGGCCGCACAAATGCATAGCACCACTTGTTGGGCACCGGCCCTCTTCTCCATGTCGCGCTTCCCATCACCGCCGCTCGTTTATGCAAACAGCCAAAACTCTTGGGGCCATGCGGCCGTGCCCATCAGGGTGGCCCCGCTGTCCCGCTGCTGGGGTGTATGCCTTGAGTCCCCAGCAGCGCAGCCCGCTCCAACCCGGTGCCTCGCCGCCGCACCCACCCGGCAACAATTCTTCGTTGCACGCATGCAGGCCGCTCGTTCTGGTGACGTTGAACGATCTGGTGGCCCCTTGGCCCCCTGCGGCGCGCATGCGCGGCTGCGGCCGCGGTCTGTCTGCCCTTGGTGCCCGAAGTTCTGGGGTCGAGGCGTCCAAGCAGCGCGCCGCTCTGCTATTATGTCCAAGCAGCTGTTGTTGCACCGCGCTGAATGGGGCTGGCCTGTCTTGCCGCCCCGGCCTCGTGTATACATCAGCACATTGAGCTCCTTTCCCCCCTGAAGTTCCGTAAACCTGAACGAATTTCATCATCGCCAGTGTACAATCATCGTTTTGCTGGCTGGAGGGTTCAAAAAGCAGGGATGGGCGGGGCACAGCGCCGTGCGCAGTACGCGCAACGCCAGTGCACCGCGCGCAGGCGCCCCAGCCGCCTCCCTGGGTTGCTCTGGAACTTGAGCGCCCGCAGCAGTCCGCCCTATTGCCCGCCGCTTGCGGGTCCATCCGCCATACAACGCGAAAATCCAGTCTTTCATTGCCGGCCTCAGGCGAGCACGCGGCACATGCATGTGCACTTGCAGGCAAAGCCACCAACTGGCCGTTGCCACTGGCTCTTGGCAAGAGCTCCTATACGGTTAGGCCCATCATGCCGAACCCCGTCATCATGCGGGGGCCTGATGTCATCTGGTTGCATGTAATATATATATCAGCCCCTTGAACAAAGAGTATGTCCTCTGCAGCCTGATGCCACGAGGGTGGTGCCTGGTGGGTCAGAGGAGTGATTATCACCACCACCCACACACACAGGCGGGGGTTGGCCCCAGATGTGCTGGCTGCTGCCGCACCTCTACATTCGGAGTTGACAGGCAACAAACTAGCTGCTGCTGGCAGCCCATTGCCCATTCGGCTCCGTGGAAGTCTGCAGATGGGGTTGATTCTGCACGCTCGAGTGAAAGCGGCACCAAAGTCATCACCTGGCCCCAGCCATCTCTGCTTGATGCGGCCAATGTCGATCCCGCACTCTGCGCTGTGCCTGCAAACCCATGAAACCCGCCGCGGCCGCAAGCTGATGCTTCTTGGCCAGAAATATATCACGCACTGCAACCCCAACCCCCCTGCACCGACTCCATACTGCTCATGCGTTTGAATGATCACCCCAGCGGCCCACCCAAACGCAACTGACATCAGAGCGAGCTCCTCGTGACTGCTGCCTAAAGTACCCCCCTTGCTGTGCTGCGTAAAAAAACAGATTATGCACCAGGGTCCAGCGAAAGGACGTCTGAAACCACCACGACGCCCGGCTTTCAGGCAGCGGGCTACTTGCCTACATACGGGGAGTTGAGTCACAACCAATGGTGCGCCCATCAGGTAGGAAGTTGAGCAGCCGGGTGATTGAAAGGCATATGGTAGTGCAAACGAATGGGATACGTCCTGAACGTTTGACAGCGCCGCATGTAGTGTACCCGGTGCCAGGTCTGGTACCTGTGCTGTCAGTTGATGGGTGCAGGTGGTGAATGCTTGGCGGGACCAGCGGCGCCTGGCGCCGCACAACAGCTGCCCTGCATGGCGTAAGACCGCAACTCGTGCTTGCACGGCCGTGGCTCCCAGAGCGCAGGGCAGGTCTACTTTGCGAGAGCAAGGTCGGTTCATCCGTGATAATCGCCACGATCCTCCGAGATCCACGTGTGCTTGCCTTTGGCAGCGTTGCAACTACGATAAACAGCGGTATGATTGACAGAAAATTACACACCCAATGCTACCTATTGCCAGGCAAAAGTCCCCAAGCGTCGCCCACCTCGCCCCGACGCACGCGCGCGCCCGCAGAAGATGAGCCGCGGCAACAAGCGCGCCAGGGCCCGCAGAGCCAAGCGCAACACGTACAGGCGCATGCGCGACGCGGACGCCGATGCCGCGGCGGAGCAGCGGCAGCTCCGCGAGCTGGACGCGCTCGAGCGGCAGCTGCTCGGGCGCCAGCTCAGCGTCGGCGGCCTCAATTACACCGCGGGCGCCCCCAGCATCCAGCGGTTCTTCGAATCATTGGTGGCTGGTGGCGGGGGCGCCGTGCTCGGGGTGCACCATAATGAGGAGAAGCCAGGCCTCGCCATCGTCGAGATGGACTCTGACGCGGCAGTCCAGCGGGTGCTGGCCCTGGCCAGCAGCGCGCGGCGGCGCGGGGTGCTGCCGGCGCCCGGCGACGTCGGCTACAGAGGCTCAGTCAGGTGCGCTGCCGCAAGGCTTGCTTTAGAGCAGACTTGACCGTAAAACTCAGCAGTGGATCAAAGGTGCGATCGTGGCTCCAAAACGCCACCCTTTTTTAATGACAATTTTACATGTAAATGGGTTTGCCGCCGGCTCTTCTCGCTCGGTGCCGCCGAGCCAGTGACCTCACAGCAGGCCAGGCCAACAACATCGGACAGTGCGCGGCCGCAGAGTTGACACACTATTCTTACATTTATCCAAATGAACCGAGACGCAAGCCTCTGGCAGCAGCGGGAATCTGAGGCCGCACCTGCGCATCGGAACCCCCCGCCCCCGTCGCCCCGCGCCCCTGGGCGCGACGGCCGCCGCACAGGGTGTCCCCCGCGCGCCCTGCACGCGGGCAGCTGTACGTAACCGATGAGGGCCAGATGCAGCTCGCCATCACAGAGGCGCGTGTGGGCTGCCTCGTGCCCGGCATTGGTGGCCGGGACGCGTTTGTGTCAGAGTTCATTGCCGCTGGCTCCGTAGAGGTGAGGCGGCGCACGCGTGTGCGCGTGCCAGTATGCAGCGCGCGCCTGGGCGTGTTGAGGCGGTGATGGAGCGCCCAAGGCTGACTTTGCAAGGGGCCTGCCGGTGTGCATGATCCTGTGCTACAGCCTCATCCACAGAGCTCCTGTCATTTCCCAGTCATTTGTGGTCGGCGCCTTTCCGTTGTTAGATCTCCTGTATTTAGAAACCTGCCGACCATCCATTTCACCTGCTTTTCACCCAGCTTTGACCACCTCAAGTGCTAGAACCCCCCATTACTTAGGAGGCCTACCCACCTGCCCCGCCGCCACTCAAACCGCACCCCCTCAGCTCACGATCAGCCTCGCAGAGCGGTGCCTCATCCTCACCGCGCGCATGTCGGCTGGGGACCGCCGCCAGCAGCGCCTTGTGTCGCAGTTCCGGCAGCTGCGCGGCCGCCTGCGCCTCGACCGCGCCGGCCACTCCCTGACGTTCAGCCTCAAGGCGCCGCCAGAGGTGCTGCAGGCCGACAGCGCCCACCCCGGCGGCTGGGCGCGGATGGGGGATCCAACAAAGGGGCAGCTGCTGGGCAGCTGCCTGACATTCAAGCTCGCCCTGTCGGCTGCGTCTGCAGGTGAGATCTATCACTGGCCGCACCCTTCAACCCAGAACCCTTGACCAATCAATTGCATTGCTCTATCTGATGCCTCGCTTGCTGTTTCTGGTGTTGCTACAACAGCATCCGGCTCGCTTTTCCCAGGCTTTTGCAGCTGCCTGGTCTTGTAAAGTGATGTCATATCGTTGAGAGATGCGATGCCGAAACTGTCTCTCCGCACGTATGCTCGCAGCCGCGCTCGACAACGACGCGGTGGCCCGACTGCAGCACTTCGGCCTGCTGCTGCCCGGCCCGCCCGCCCACGCCGCCGCTGCGCCCCAGCCGCGGGTTTTCGAGGCGGCCGGCTGGCCGTGGCGCAGCGACGGCCTGCAGCAGCAGCAGCTGACAGAGCTGCCCTTCACAGTGGCATTCCAGGTGACCGCCCCGCCCCCGGCACTCCGTTAATGGCCCGTCGCTCCGTTTGTTGCACTTGGTGTGTGGTGGTGCTGTTGCCAGTCCACATGGCAGCCGTCCTGCTGCCGCCCTTCATCACCATTTTGCGAGGTTTTTGCCCTGCCGCTACTTGCATGCATTGAGCATTGTGTGTCCTGCGCAGCTCAAATCGCGGTACAAGCCAGCAGTGCAGAACTGCTGGCACACAGCTCCCTTGCGTCTGTTACGCACATCCCCACACACAATGACCCTCACGTCCCAACCTCCTGGCCTGCGCCTTCCCTCGAATCCGACGCGTGCACGCTGCGACCGCGGCCCCGACATGCCCGCCGATGTTGCCCTTTCACAGGGGCTGGTGCTGCTTTCCTCGGGCCTCGCTTCGAAGTGGCAGCTCGCAGACCCGCAGGTGCTGCAGCTGCTGTCCAGCGCCGCCCCCGGCGCCGCGCGGCGCGCGCTGGCCGCGCTGTGCAGCGGCAGCCGCCCGGTCGCTGACCTGGCGGCGGCGCTCGAAGAGCAGCTGGAGGGCGACCAAGGGGACGCCGAGGAGGAAGACGATCAGGCGCGGCAGCTGAACGCGGGGAAGCTGGTGGAAGGCTTCGCCAAGGCGCGTAGGCTGGGGTCAACGTTGGCGCTCAGCTCATGCGCGCTCCGGGCAGCCCCTTGCTTGCGTAGCGGCTGGAATGGTACGGCAACGTCTGCCTTCAGGGGAAAATGTAAATGTGTGTCCAAGGGGTTGGTTTGTTAGTGTCAGGCATGTCACCCGCCATCAACTGACCCAATCAGCAACCAGCAAGGTGTGCATGCGCGGGACACTTCGGGTAAGTGCCCATGCAACGTGCGTGCGCACAGCCTTCCTTGCTCCCAAACCGTCCCCGCAACCGCTTTTGCCCCAAACATGCAGGTCCCGCGGATCCTGGTGACGCCCACGCGCGTCGCCTTCCTGCAGCCAGAGGTGGACCTGGCCAACAGGGTGCTGCGCAGCTTCTGCGCAGCTGCGGACGGGGGCGGGGCAGGCCAGCTCAGCACGTACGACCTTGCGCAGGTGCGCCGGCAGGGCAAGGTGCACTGGGCTCGCCCGCGCGTTGCAGGGACGGCCGCCATCAACACACCTGCAATGGGCGCAGCAGCCGCGGGGGTCGAGGCGAGCGTGCGCGGCATCCAAGGATCTCTTTTGAGGTGGTAGCTTCCAACTTGAAGTTGTGAGACGCTCCAATGAAGCAACCTGGCTTCAGGCGCGGGCAGTCGTCTGTCGGCGCGTCCCCCATGAGCAGCTGCTTGCTATGACCTTCTGTATGCGAAGCAGCCCCCGCACTGCGGCATTATCACCGCTGGGCTCCTGAGACGGCTGCGGCTGCCGTGCCGCCCCCTGCGTTCTTTGGTCCTCAGGTATCCTTCAAGACCCGCTGTTTGCCACGCCGGACACGACCATCCAGGCCTGCTTCGAGCGGGTGCAGAACGTCCTGTCAGAAGGTGGGGCCAGGCACAACACACGCACGCGGGCGCGAAGCCGGGTGCAAAATTGCAAAGGCGCGGCTCGAGACAGGCCACGTCAGGATCTGGAGGCCTGCCAGCTTCTGTGAATTGCGCCCCGGCTGCCGCCACCAGTTTTGAAGGGGGACTTTTCCTCCGCCTCCTACGCAGGCATCCAGTTGTGCGGCCGCCACTACGTGTTCCTCGCCTACTCATCGAGCCAGCTCAGAGACCACGCCGTCTGGATGGTTTCCGCCGGCCCCGGCCAAAGCCGCGGCGCGTCCCAGGTGCTTGCGGCGAGGATGCGCGGCTGGATGGGGGACTTTATGGAGAGCCAGCGCGTGCCCGCAAAGTGCGCGGCGCGGATGGGGCAGTGCTTCAGCACCACGGTGGACGCGGCGGCGGTGGGCGGCGAGGAGCACGTGAGCCTCGCGCTTAGCCTGGGGTGTGGGTAGGGGTGTGGGTAGGAGGAGAGCCTGCGATGGGCAACCTTGGACTGGTGTGGGGTGGCAGGTTGGTCGCCGATCGCTTAAGAGCCCCCGGCAGGGCGGCGACGAGCGCAGCTTGCTCGCCCGGTGCGCTGCGTGGCACTCACATCGTCTCATATCTCAGCCGCTCTGCTGGAATTCTACGGCCGGACAAAACGCAGAGCGTGGTCCCGGATGTGGAGCATGACGGATACTGCTTCAGCGACGGCGTGGGGCGCATCTCGCCGGGGCTGCTGTCCGAGGTCCTCCTGGAGATGGAGCTCCCGCCAGATGCGCCAAAGGTGTCTGCTGTGCAGGTGCGTTGGCGCCTGCTGTAGGCTCGCACAGAGCGGAGGGGTGCACATGTGTGCCACATCCCTCCATGTGCATGAGAATCTGGGGGGCCACCCATCGGGGCCGATGATTGCACCTGCCAGTGTGATCAGTGATGAGGTGCAGCTGCGAGCCGTTGGATGCTTTTCTGGTTGGCTCAGACCGTGGTCAGGTAATGGGAGCACCTGTGCGCACGCTTGAGGACTGGAGGTCTGCCTCGCAGCGCACAGCACAGCGCTGCTGCACAAACACGCTATATCCCCTCGCCCCCACACACAGGTGCGCTTCGGGGGTTGCAAGGGCATGCTGTCGCTGCTGCCCTCCCTCCCCGGCCGCGCCCTCCAGACGCGCCCCTCAATGACCAAGTTTGGCAGCACCCACTCGCGGCTGGAGGTGGTGGGCGTGGCCAGGCCGATCCTGTGCTTCCTTAACCGCCAGCTCGTGCTGCTGCTGCAGCACAACGGCGTGCTGTCCCAGGTGCGTGCGGCGGCACAAGCAATTTCGCGTTTCAAACTGCCGGCTGCCCTTTGCAGTGGAAGAGCCTTAAGCGGAATTGTGAGCAGGTGGACGGCTCCTCAAGTAGACGCCTCTGCCAACTCATAAGCGACCATTGGCAACATTGTCGATGAAACCGGCAAAAGCACTGAAATAAGGATCCCTTTGCAAAACCCGCAACTACTGCGCTCCCACCGGCTCGAGCCACTGCCAGGTCACCAACCTCCCGTGGATGCAGCCTCCACCACCTGCCCCTGCCAATTCTATCCCGCCTTTGTTTCCACGCCGGTGACCCCCGTGCTCAGGTTTTCCTGGACATGCAGGCCGCATACCTGCGGCGCCTAGACGACCTGACAGCCAGCCCCTCGGCTGCAGTCCAGGCGCTGCCAACGCTGGGCGCCCTCGCCCCCGCTGCACTGGGGCCCATGGTGGCGCTGCTGGCCGCCTGCAGGGACCGAGGGCTGCCAATGGACCCGCTGATGGGCAGCTGCCTGGCAGCTGTGGAGCGGCACCTGGTGGGCGGGTGGCTGCCCGGCTGCCGCCCGTGCACGCCGTGGGTGCGGCGCACTCTGTTTCGCAGTGTGTTTCGCAGTGCCCGTGGCGAGCAGCAGGGGTTTGTACGTCGATTGCGCCGGGCATCAAAAGGCGATCAAGGTCAAACCTGGTCTAACCTGGTCAGACCTGGTCAACGAGCCGCGGCCAGCCAAAACTATTCTCACCGATTCGCTGGCACGTGATAATCCGTTGGCGTCAGCAGCGAAGCCGGGGTCCGTCCAGCGGCACTCCCACTCATAATTCCAGTGCAGGCGGCCCCTGCGCGCCTCCTCCTCCGCCTCTGCCCCTGCCCCTGCGCCCACACCCGGCCCGCAGCGCCTTGACCTTGAGACCAAGTGCCGCATCCCGGTGGAGCAGGGGGTGACCCTGATGGGCGTCCTTGATGAGCTGGACCAGCTGGAGGAGGGCCAGGTGTTCGTGCAGGTGGGGCCGGCAGTGGGGCGGCTGTCGTCGCGTCACTAGTCAGGGTTTAGGGGTTTGGGGCTTTGGGGTTTAGGGTTTAAGGTGTAGGCAGGGTTGGCCGGCTGGTGCCGCTGCCCTCTTTGTGCTACAAAAAGCCAGTGCATTCTTGCCATCGGGCTGTTCGATGTGGAACGTCACGCCGCACTGATGAGACGTAAACGCTGTCAGTGCAGCGGCAGCCCGGCCGTTGCTGCGTTTTTAGCTGCCGCCAAGGTGATGGTGCAAGCCACAGCAGGATGCGAGACGCATCAAAATGGATCTTAGGGCAGCAGCGCCTGGGCCTGTCAGCCATGCAGCCAGGCAGAAGGCGAGCCGGGTCGCAGCCTGGAACTTCTACCCCACCGCCGCGGTCGCCCTCCCCCGACCGATCCACCCACCCACACGCACCAGGTCCAGGCCAACCGCGGCGCGGAGCCGCAGGTCATCACAGGCCGCGTCGTCCTCGCCAAGCATCCCGTCTGCCACCCCGGGGACGTGCGCGCCGTCGAGGCCGTGGCCGGCTCCAAGGAGCTTCGCGAGGCGTACACCAACGTGGTGGTGTTCTCGCAGCGCGGCGCGCGGCCGCTGACGTCGTGCCTCTCGGGGAGTGATCTGGACGGGGACCTGTATGCGGTTATCTGGGACGAGCGGCTGCTGGGCATATGCAACCAGACGCCGATGGACTACACTGCCCCCAAGCCGATCGAGGTACACACTCGCGTGCGAATATTGCGATCTTGACCGTTTGACTGTCGCACTGTCACCCGCGCACAGGGCCGGGCCGCTCCACCCCTGTGTGTGTTGATTTCTCAGAGATCTGCCGCCCGTTTTTTTCCTCTGGCATGCAGACGGAATCAACTCTCCATTTTCCACAGGCCCAATGCGTGCCCCAGTAAGGATCCGACCTGCGCGCTCACGTGGCGGCCCAAACGCTTCATTCTTGCCCCACCAAGCTGCACCATTTATCTACCTATCTGTTGCAGGTGCCCCAAGTGACGGTGCGGCACCTAGTGGACCACTTTGTGAACTCTGCGCGCACTGACAGCCTCGGGATCATCGCCAACACCTGGCTGGCGCACGCTGACAGGTGGCCAGGTTACTGTGTGTGTGTGTGTGGTGCATGTGTGCGTGCGTGTGCATTCCTGGATGTATGGGGGCCTCATACTGCGGCATCAAGCACGGCCGACGTTGTGAATGATCCTGGCAAATGCACGGTTGCCTGGCAGTTTGCTTCTTGTCAGGCAGCTGCTTTGTCACATGACACATGGGGAGTTTACAGTGATGTACCTGGCCGGGCTTGTTGCGGTCCAAACACAGCTTTGCGTACGCTCGAGCACGAAAGTTGGGTGCGCGCCTCGCCCACCCTTGCTTGGCGCGCTCCCTCGCGCTCTGACTGCTCGCTTGCCACCTGTGGCTAGTAGCAGGGGGGGTCCCGGCTGCCCAGAGTGCCTGCGCCTGGCAGAGCTCCACTCGATCGCCGTCGACTTCCCAAAATCGGGCGTGCCGGCAGAAATGGAGCGCGAGCTGGTGGGTGCGTGGTGGGTGGATGCTGCACACTGCTGCTGCTGCTGCTGCTGCTGCTGCTGCTGCTGCTGCTGCTGCTGCTGCTGCTGCTGCAACGCCTTCCAGAATAGACCCCAGATAGCCCTTCATCAGTGCGCTGCCGAGTGCTGATGGCGGCCGACACTGACAAATCCAATCCATGGCATGCACTCTGCGGAGGGGAGGTGCAGCGGTCAGTCGGCTGACAGCGGGACTTTGCAGGCAGATGCATCACAGGCAGCCGGTAGATGGCCGTTTTTGTGTCATCCAACGCCTGCTCGGCCCGCCCTGCTGCCCTGCCCGCCCTGCCCTGATGCTCTTCCCCCCTGATAGGTGGCCCACGAGCTGCCGCACTGGATGGACAACCGCCGCAAGCCATCCTACCACTCCGAATCAGTCATTGGGCGGATGTACGACGCCGCCAAAGAGCACGCAGAGGCCTCGGGCCGCGGCAGCGGCAGGGGCGGCAAGCCCGCAAGCGGCAGTGGCCAGGGCGCGGCCAAAGGCGTGCAGGGGTGGCGGCGGCAGCAGGGGGCGTGGGAGGAGTGGGAGGCGGCGTGGCGGCGGGCGCTGCTGCCGCCGGATGTGGCTGCTGGGAGCGCGGCGCACCTGGAGGCGGCGCACGCGGCGCTCAGCCGCTTCGAGGGCCGGCTGCTGTCGCTGATGAACGAGTGGAGGGCCGCGGACGTGGGTGAGTGCACAAGCAGCCGGGTGCCTGGGGCACGCAGCGCTGACTCAGTGGGCGCTTTGAGGCTTGGGCGGCCATGGCGGGCAGCACGTTTTGTCCGCATGCCACTGCCACCTGGACAGGTCTATGTGTATTTGTATATACATACATCCAATTGCAGAACCCTATATGTATATGTGTATATGTATGGTATACATATCCAAACTGATTGTCTAGCAGCCTGCCAACCCAAGTCGAACTTCTCAAGCACGTACGTACGCACGCGCACGTCCTGCAGGGCAGCTGCTGACCGGCTGCCTCCCCGCGCGCACGGCGCACCAGCGCCGCCGCCAGCACGACGCCCGCGAGCAGCTGAAGAGACAGGTGGCGCACCTGATGGCGGGGGCGAGGCGGGAGTTTGTGCTGCAGCTTCTAGACGGCCCGGCAGGTGGGCAGGAGCCGCACTACGGCGGCGGCGGGGGCGCCGCGCTGCACGATATGTCGGGCCGAGATCTGGAGGCGAAGCTGGAGAGGCGCTGGCCGCTGGCGCGGCGCGCCGGCGAGCGGCGCGCGCTTGCGGCGGCGTACTGGCGGGCGGCGGTTGGCGACGAGGACGGCGGGAGTGAGGAGGGCGGCCTAAGCGAGGGGGGTGAGGGCGTCAGGGGGTCAAGGGAGGAGGAGGAGGAGGTGGAGGGGGAGGGGGACGCCGTCGGCGGCGTGCGTGAGCGCATGCGGCTTGCGCGGCTTGCATTTGTGTGGGTGGTGGCGGCCGAGGTTTCTGAAATGGTTTGATAATGCCGGGCTGGTCGCATTGGAATTTCAAGGAGACTAATATGGTTCACGAGTCGCCTGTTCAAGGTGGAATAGATTCCGATGCAAGCAAGATTGCCAACCAGTGGGACTGAACATGTTTGTTGTTTGAGCAAGGCGTCAGCAGCCCCTCTCTCGTTGTAAGGAGGCAAGAGTGCTGCCGAAGCAGAGTGTCATCCAAGGACTGCGTTGCAACCGGGCGCGGAGGGGGCCTGTGATGAGGCGCGACATTTCCTTGCAGCTGTGGGTTCAGTACGGTATAAACATGAATGTACAGTTGACGGTACCTCAACTACCTTGGAGTCGTAGTCGGCCGTCACCGTCTCACCAGCAATGCGTATCGGTAAATAGCAGCCCGCAGGCATGGCACGCTCGTCCAAGCCCGACGTCACGCCTGCTACTGGTTTTTCGAGCGGATGGCCGCTTGGCAGCTGCAGAGGCACAAGGGGCCCTCAGCTCCCCCCGCCTGCGGCGTTGGTCTTGTTACCTCAAATTCCGGAACATTGCGTTGAATCTTATGGACAGTGAAGCAGCCAGCTGGACGGTGGAATTCAGGCTCGCCCCGGTGACCGAGCAGCTCACATCCCGCTGTGAATTGGTGGTGGCTGCTCGAGGCCTCCAAGTGACACCCTTTCTTCACGCATTATGGGCCCACATCCCCGTGCCATCTCTTGATAAAAAAGGAAGATCAAAGATGTTTCGATGTCACTCCAGCTTGCGACGTGCGGTATGTATTGAGCCCGCGCTCTGAGTGTAGCACCTGTTCAACAAACGACAAGAGGTTCCTTGAACGACCGGCAGCAGCCTGCGTACTCCATCAAGATTTGTTTCCGCTGATTACCGTAGATCGTCCATGCCAGCAGCAGATCGCGGTCACCAGTCATCTTGCCGTCTGCAGCAAGTGTGTCATGGCCGATACATTGTCTCACCAAACCTGCACTGGTTTCCTGATTGACTAGGCCTGGGCGCCACGCAACGTGCAGCGGTTGCCTGAAGTCCCCGCCGTAGCTAGAGATGCTGCTGCGCGCCGCGCTGCTGCTCGTCGCTGCGGCCTGCGTCCGCGGGTCCTCCAATTTCAACGGCTACGACGACTGCGAGCACGTGAACCACGGCACCTCCGAGCAGCGGGCGCTCGCGGCCTCCGCGGCCGCGTGCACCGGCGTCGCGAAGGGAGGGGGCAGGTGCATCCGCCCGCTTTGCATGGAGCACATCCGCGGCTTGCCGTGGCAGTGGCGCATTGGCCGCGAGCCGGCGGTGCGCATCCTCAAGCCCGGCGAGGCGCCAGAGACGCCGCTCGCCAAGCATGCAGTCGGCCTGCTGCTGCGCGCTGCCGCATGCCCAAAGGCCACAAAGCGTCACCCGCGCCTCGCCACCCGCTGGGCGCGCGGCGGCGGCGGCGGCCCGGCGGAAACCACCATCAGCACTATCCACGCCCAGCCCGCCCTTTGCGAGTGCATCAGCGAGTACGCGGCCGCGCTGCTGCCGCGCGGCGTGTTTGAGGCTGTGTCGAGCAACTTTTCCGTGCCCGGCGTGACGCGGCGCGCGCCGCCGTCGCTGGCGCTGTTTGACTTCATCGGCGGGTGGTGGGAGCTGCAGGAGAGTTTCGAAGGCGATCTGGCCACCAGAGGGACCTCTGCGAGGCGTTACGCGGTGCGCGCCGGCGGCGGCAGCCAGCCAACGCGGGGCCGTCCGCGGGTCTGCAGCTTGTAGCGGCTTCTAAGGCGGGCCGGTCGCGCCGGCAGGCATTTGGAAGCGACGGCCTGCGGACCGTGATGAAAGATCCGCTGGCGTGAGCCCTTGCAAGCCGTCGCCCGCCAACCGCCCCCTCGTCTTCCATCCGCCCCCGTCACCCCAACCCTCTGCGCCACCTCGTCCCCCAACCCCCCCTCCCCGGCAGGTACTGGTGCAAGCACTCGCCATCGCTGCCTGGTGCGAAGGCCAGGGGCAGACGGCGCCCCTTTTCATCACAGGCGCCCCTCACACACGATGGACGCCCCGCCCTTGCACAAAGCAGCGCGCCCCCTCAACTGGGGCCGAAAGCCCTGCCCCCCTCGAAAGCCCCAGCGAATGTCCCCCCCCTCCCAACGCCCCTCTGGGCGCCGCTGACCGGCCCCTCGCCCGCAGGACCGACCTCCAAGCTGTGCTGCGGAAGAGGAGGGGCGCGTCAGTGCCGCCCGTGTCGCACCTTCTGCTGGAGGACCCGGCGGTGTGGGCGCTGCTGCCCCACAACACGCGCCTCCTGGTAACTGTGCAGCAGGCGGTGGCAGCAGAGGCGGCAGGCATAGGGTTGAGGGAGCTTGCAAAGGTGTGTGTGTGTGTGTGTGTGAGAGGGAGAGTTTGAGCACTTATGCGTGCATTTGTATGTGTGTGATTGTGTGTGTACTCGTATGTGTGTCTGTGAGTGTGTTTGTGTTGGGGGCAGGATTCAAGGATTGGCTTGATGCATGCTTGCTTTCTTCTGCATGTGCTTGCTCGTGAGGCTGCTCAGCGGAACCAGCTCCTCCCCGGCGCTTGCAACTGCGCGGTTGCGCACAGTTTCGCACACTGTCAGAGTGCGCGCGCGCACATATACACACACATACACACACTCACTCTCTCTCTCTCTCACACACACACACACGCATGCACGCATGCGCTCGAACTCACGCACCGACACGAATAGTCACCTCCTGCACAATCGCCCCCACCCCGTGCCCCGCAGACGAGCCGCGCCGCCGCAGCGCTGCACCTATTCATGAACGCCGCCGCCGGCGTCCACTTCCCGTCAACCATGGGGTTCGAGCGGCGCGCGTTTGAGGATTTGAGCAGCAGCGACGCCGGCCTCACGAAGCTCTTTGATCATGCCGCGGCCGGCGGCGCGGCCAAAATGAAGCAAGCTTGGACGTACACGTTGGCCTTCGCGCTCTCGAGGGACGAGTATGCGTCAAACCTGCTGAGGGCCTCGCGCATGCAACACCGGGTCCTGGCACACTGGAGGGAGGTGCTGGTCGACGATACAGAGGAGGGGCGGTACGCGTTGATCTTGAATCAAATGCACAGTGGATTACTAGGGCTGGTGAGCCTCCAAACGCCCGTGCCAACCCCGGGCGCACACGCCCCCTCCCCCCCGCCTTGGGCCGCGACGATGGTGGCGCGGCCGGCAGACGCATTGCATCGCAGCGCTGCACCGGCGCTCGGCCGGAGCGCTGCGTGGAAGCCCTTGTTGCGCCGTGCTTACAAGGATCATCATTTGCAGCAATTTTGTTTAGACGTTTAAATGTCTGTTTGCTTTGTATATACTCATTCAAACCCACCGTGTATTGTTCATTGGTTGCGACACGCAAGTCAGGGGCCGCCCGCGCCAAGCGCGACATGCACATCGACGACGTGCCTGGCAGTTTGTGTTGGTGTTGCACGTGCACGCTCGCGCCCATTGTTGACATCCCCGCCCTACCTTGCCCCCCGAACCGGACAATCCCATTTCTCTTTCTCTCTTGCCTCCTGGGCTATTATCCTGCACAGACTCATCAACCAGTGCATCCCCACAGCCTCTCCATGATTCATCCTCTCCATTGAACCTCTGCTTCTTCCTCCCTCCACTCAATCAGATTGAGGGCTATGAAGAGATGGACATCCAACTCCACAAAATGGGCTTGGCCTTGGACGTCGATCCAGACCCTTCCGACACACTTTCATCAACTCGTTCAATAAACTCTAACAATAGATTAGTGGTCCGCATTACTAAGGCCGCACCACATCCTTCGAGCGCCCGAGGCCGCACGGAGATTATCGAGTGGGCCAAGCGCAGCACCTGCGACACCCACCACCTCTGGGCGGTAGCTACCTGGCAGCTGCTGGCGGCCGCCGAGGACGGCCGCGGCGGCGGCGGCGGCGGCGCTGCGGAGGGCGGCAATGGCTGGTGGGACGAGGCGCGGCTTGCTGCGCTGCCATCGGTCGAAAGCGTGGGCAGCTACCGCTCTCACAAAGGTTGCCCCGACACGCGACTCCCAGAACAGGGGGGCAAGCTGGGCGGCGCCGAGTTCTCTGTGCAGTGGCTGCCGTCGCAGCATTGGTTTGGGGCTGGCGGCGGCGGCGGGGCGGCGGGGCTGAACATCCCGGGGGGGCATCTGCAATCGGCGAGCGACGCCGGCGGCGGCGGCGGACGCACGATAGACGAGTTTCCCAGTGCGAGGAAAAGGGGCAAGGACGGCTGGCCCCCGCTTGCACAGTATGTCCATGAAATTATATGTTTTTTGACATGGGACTGGATGTTTGTGTTTGGCCTGTTCCCGGGCTATTGGACGCTCACAGCCGCTGAGTTTGAGGAGGAGTCGTCCTACTACCATTTCGCCTGCGGCCTCCAGGGCACCATCGCGCCCGCTGCCCTGCTACTGTCCCTACTCTACTTTGCCCTGTTAGTCCTCTGGAAGCTGCGGCAGCCGCCGCGGCCGCCAAAGCCGCAGCCACGGGCCGCCCGCAGGCGTGCAAGCGACGGTCGCGGCGGCCGCGACGCTGGCGGCGGCGCCGCCGTCTGGGAGGCCTTCTGGCACTTTGCGCGTCTCGTCCCCTTGGCTTCGGTCACGCTGGGGATTTCATTGTTTGTCTTTTGGCTCTCGTCTGACCGCTGGACCGCCAGCGTGTTTGGCTGGCCCTGCAACTTCCAGGCCAGGGTCGGCTGCGTCGCCGTCCCTTTCGCGCTGCACTCCGCCTGGCGGCACGGCGGCGCGGTATTCTGTTTTTGTGCGGACTGCCTCCTGGCCCCGCTCGCGGCGGCGCGGCGCGCAGCCGGCGGCGCGCTGGAGGTTCCGGCTTGCCATGTGCTTGTGGCCGCTCGCTGGTTGCTGGCTGCGATTTGCGCGGCATCCGTGGCGGCCCACAGGACGCTTGCGGCGGCTTATTGGTGGCTGGCGGCGGCCGCCACTTTGCCATGGCGCTGCGCATCAGCCTGGTTTGAAGCCTGGACGCGTGCCGCAGCGGCGCGGCGCCAAGAGAGGGAAGCCGCGGCCACTGCAGCCGCCGCCGCGGCGACGGCGGCGACGGCAGCTCAGCAGCAGCACGAGCAGCAGCAGCAACGGCAGCAGCAGCGGCAGCAGCTGCAGGAGCCGCGGAAGCAGCGGCAAGGGCAGCAGCGCGGCGCGCGGCGCCAGGTTGGGGGCCAGGGCAGGCCGGCACGCGGTGCTGCTGCTCGCCCTCACGAGACCCTGCCAGCTTTGGCGGGGGATGTGCTAATGCCGCCCGTGGCTGAGGCAGACGCGCCGAATGGGCAACCCGGTCCGTTCGACCCGCGACTGCCTGACGCTCGCGCCTCAGCGGGGGTAGCAGTAAACCCGCAGCAGCAGCAGCAGCAGGTGCAGGAGCAGGAGCCACATGGCGCGCAGGAACAGCATCATCACCAGCAACCACAGCAGCAGCAGCAGCAGCAGCAGCAGCAGGAGCAGCAGGAGGAGGAGCAAGAGCAGCAGCAGCAGCAGCAGCAGCAGCAGCAGCAGCATCATGAGCCACTGGGCGTGCAAAATCTCCCGCACGAGCGCCTTGGCCCGCAGGGGCAAGACCAGCAGCAGCGTGCGCCACTGCTTGTGCAGCAGCAGCAGCAGCAGCAGCAGCAGCAGCAGCAGCAGCAGCAGCAGGATCAATCAGAGAAGAGCAGCAGCAGCAGCAGCAGCAGCAGCAGCAGCAGCAGCAGCAGGAGCAGCAGCATGAGGAGCAGCAGCAGCATCATGAGCCACTGGGCGTGCGAAATCAGCCGCATGAGCGCCTTGGCCTGCAGGAGCAAGACCAGCAGCAGCGTGCGCCACTGCTTGTGCAGCAGCAGCAGCAGCAGCAGCAGCAGCAGCAGCAGCAGCAGCAGCGGGAGCAGCGGGAGCGGGAGCCAGCTCAGCAGCTCCGCAACAAGCAGCCCCGAGCAGCAGCCGCAGCGCCCACCCGTGCCACATCAAGCGGTGGCGGGCGGCGCGCCCCGCGCCCCGCGCCGCCCGCTGCGGCGCCTGCGCCGGCCGCCGCGTCGGTCAGCGGCAGCCTCCTGCACGCGGCGCCGCCGCCGCCCGCTGCCGCTGTGCCTGCGCCTGCGGCGCCTGCGACAGCGGCGGCGCCCGGCTCTGCGGCACCGTTTGCCGGCAGCGAGTCGGACTCTGATGATCTTTTTGAGCTGGAGCAGCTGCTTATGATGAGCTGCGCGACGCCAGAGGAGCCCGGCGGCGGCCGCGGCGGGTCCCCGCCAGGTCAGCGTCCAGCGGCTAGGTCAGCGCCGCCGGCGCCGGCCTCCGGCGAGCGCCGCGGCCGTGCGGCCAGCGGCGCGGAGGAAGGCGAGGAGCCGCCCTGCTGCGTGATCTGCATGGAGGCTCCGCGGCAGATGGCGGCGGTGCACGGCGACAGCGCCCACCTGTGCGTGTGCGCCGCGTGCTGCCAGCGCCACAAGGGCGCCGCCGCGCTCGCGCGGTGCCCGATGTGCCAGATGCCAGTGCAGGCGTGGCTGCGCACGCACGTCTGATCCAGTCGTGCGTCCTTGGCTCTTGCGCGGTCTGAGGGAGCTCGTCCATTGCTCGCTCACCGGGACCGGATTTCCAGTTTCCCACATTCTTTGGAGAACCCGCTGCAGTCGCTGCTTTGAACCATCCTGATGCAGCCTGCACTATCACAGTCGAGGTGTTTATTTTCGTGCATATGATGTCTTTTTGATTTTGATGCCCTATGGGCACCCTCGATTCAAATCTATGTTGGCCATGCTGTCGGACGGCGCCCCCTCTGTGAATGTTCTTGGGAACGACAGGACGGGATTGACTGCCCGGCGAGCTCCCGCCTGCCAGGCCTGAAAAGCAAAGCGCTGCTTCATCCCCCATGCTAATCGTGCATGGTCGACACTACCCTGGAGGCACGCCGTCGCGTGATTGCAGGCTGCATGCGACACGAGTGGGGTTTGTAACGCATCACCCCTGGAGCTGGATATCCCAGCCCTGGCTGTGTCGCCTTCCTCCGTACGAACGGAGCAGCTGCTTCAGTTGGCGACGTGGGGAGCCCACATACCAGCCCAACCCAGCGACCGGCCGGCCAATGCTTCATCCAAGCTTGTGTTCAGCCATGAAAGGGGTTGGGGATATGCTGTTGTCACAGGTATGCACAGGGAAGGCGCCAGCGCCTAGCTTGAAAGCACGGGCTGTTGTCACTGCAAGTCACTTGCAGCAACAGCATCACCAGCCGCGGCCACATGGTGTGCCCTGCCCTAGGCGCATGCCTTGATCTTGATTCAAGTAATTTGTCTCACGGCAGTCGTATATTGATCCTCCCTGACTCGAGATCGGCGAGTATTTTTTGCCAACACACCTGCAAATTTCGTGCGCAGCCCTCAGAGGCAGTCGCAAAGGCTGTCGCTATCATTGTATCAGAACACCTGTATTCCAGCTGGCGCCACAGCAATCAGAGCGCCTCAGCACTATGCAGCAGCTGCAGGCGACGCCGCACGAAGTGCTTTTTGAACCGCCCGCCCTGCCTGCCGTGACCGTCATAACAGCCAGCGGGGATGATGTTGACGCCACCGCCGCGCCGACCGGAGCCGTTGGCAGCGCGACGCTAGTGCTCCTAGTGACCGAGGCGCAGGTGGCGGGTTTTGCGGGCAGAGAGGAGGCGCCCAACCCGCAGCCTGGCAGGGTAGCAAGCCCACTTGACAGCTGGGATGAGTCGTCCAAGGCTGCACTGTTTGCAATCCATAGCCACAGCTTCGAGGGCAAGCAGGTGGGGGTGTGGTTGCAGTACAAGAAGGAGTGCCCTCTTACACCAATGAATCCCGACCCCTGAAATTGCTGATCGCATGGTGGGGCATGCAGCTGAATCCACATCTGTGGCGAAGCATGCCTCCTTTTCTCAAACACAAAAATGCTTGCAGCCGAGATGTTGCACGACGCAGCACCCGCGACACCTGCGCGCCGTCGAACCTCAAACTTCCCCTCAGGGCCAGGCCATGCCGCCGCTGCTGCTGCGTGCGGACGGCGGCGACGCGCCGCCGCGGCCTGCGCTCCTCCTGGGGCTGGGGAAGCCCCCCCTGGCCACCAGAAGCTGGGGAGACACTCCGCTGCACGTGAGAGCCATGCCGGGGAGAGGTGCCGCCCCTCTCCCAAAGCCGTTCATCCCAAGAGCACTGCTGCATCGAGGGGCCTGTGGTCGGAGGTCCCTGGCTAGGGCATATTGCCTGCCGTGCCTGGTTGCCGTAGCGCAGGAGCAAGCATGGCTTTGAGGTCACCGTTGCAATCCTGGTGATCTGCCTGTAGATTTATCACTGCATGTCTTTTCGACGATTGAATAGCGTATTCACAGCGGGTGATGTGTACGCATGATGCGGATGCCTATCTAGTACTCAGCCTGCTCACCAAGAGCCGGCCTTACCTGGCGCCGCAACCTCCCCCCTTGCCCCCAGTCCGCCGGCCTCGCACTGGCCGCCGCCGCCAAGAGCCACGGACTGCAGTCCGTGACGGTGCCCCTGCGGGGCCTAACGCCGCTGCTCGCCACGGCCGGGCCCGCAGGCGCGGGGGCGGGAGAAGATGCAGCGAGCGGCGCAGCGGCGGCCGTGGCGGCTTTCGTGGACGGCGCAATAACGGGTCTGTACGAGGGGAATGTCAGGTGGGCGTTTCAAGGAGCAGGAGCCCTGGAGGTGTAGCCACAGACTTGCTTGTTGAGCGCAGCCATGCGCTGGACGCGCCCAGGCGAGCGGGGCTGAACGGTTGAATGGCGTAGGTACAAGCATAGCAGACTGTGTGCTCCGAGGCGCACCCACTCAGCCGAACCCTGGGTCCCCTGCCGCTGAGCAATTGCTCACCCAAACTCACCGTTGTGTTGCACACACCCTGGCGTCACTCAAACGCCGTAGATACAAGAGCAAGCCCGCGCCGAAGGCGAAGCTCAAGTCCATTACGCTGGTGGCGCCCGCGGAGGCCGCCGCCGCCACCAGAGGTGGCGCCCCCGCGGCGGCGCTCGTGGCGGCGGCCGCCAAGGGTTTGGCCCTGGCGCGCGCCAGGCTGTTGGCGAGGTGGGGCTGGGTGCCGTCCTGCTTGCTTGCGCTTAATGATTGTTGCTGGCTACAGCTCCAGGTGGACTTGCATGGAGGGGCTGGCAGGGCCTGTTTTCTGGTGGTATGGCCTTGTTGAATCCATTGGCAGCAGCAACATGAAATCCTTGGGTTGCGGCCAGCCACGGTTCCCTGAACGAGTCACACATGCACGCACGTGTGTGCGCGTGAAAACATACACACACGCTTGCACGCAAGAACTCAACGTGCGCACGTGCGAATGCACACATGCATGTGCACACACACTCTGGGGTTCAGGTTTACAAAGCCTGCATCCCCTCAACCTGCCCAGGTTTCTGGTGGAGGCGCCCCCCAACGTGTGCACGCCCTCCCACCTGGCCCGCGCCGCCGCCCACATCGCGGCCGCTGCGCCCGACCGCTTCGACCTCAAGGTGCGCAGCCCCGCCTCTACCTCACAGCCACCTGAATCCGTTGGCTGCCACGCAAACCTGCCCCTCTCCCGCTTGCACAAGTGATTTTGCAACTCGGCCACCACTTAATTTCGGTCCTTTTCAGCCACACGCACATGCACTTGCTTACACACTCAGATGCACCTGTCCTCGCACACATGGGAAGTGTGCCTGTGTGCACTCGTGCTTGCATGGATGTTTCTGGCACAAAAACATCCATGCAAGCACAAGTGCACACAGGCACAAGCAAGCAAACAAGCAAGCAAGCATGTGCCCCCACTCGCAAACACCCTCCACCCCTGTTTCCAGGTCCTTGATGAGGCAGAGTGCCTGGCCCTGGGCATGCGGCTGTTTGTGGGTGTTGGTCGCGGCTCGGACGAGCCCCTGAAGCTGGTGCACCTCACGTACAACCCCCCAGGGGAGGTTACGCAAAAGGTGGGCCGTGAAACAGGACATGCATGCACAGGGCTGCGTTGGAGCTTCTTTACTGGAACAGCCAGTAGAGTCAGTCAGTACAGATGCAATGTCCAGGGTGCTGTTGGGAACGACGGACGGTCGCGGGTCGGCCAACAAGTCAAGTCCGCGCAATGTGGGCCCCTCGCGTTTTTGACGGCGCTCTGCATCACCGTTTCTGCACTCACCCGCACCCAGATTGCGCTGGTGGGCAAGGGCCTCACGTTCGACTCTGGCGGCTACAACATCAAGGTTTGGGCGCGGCAGGGGTGTTTCGAGGGTTTACGGTTTAGGGTTTAGAGCCCCAACACTAACTAGGATGAGATCGCTTTGTCTGGCCCCTGACGAGATCCGTTTGGGAGCTGAGTGCAAGGCCGCCACGTCATCGTTTCCTCCGCCGACGCGCCTCTGCCCCGGACGGCTTTCGTGGCTGGCGTACACCTGGAACCTTCTGATTTCACAGGAGATCCCTCGGACCCCACCAACCGCCTGGCAACGCCCGGCAACCACCCCCCGCTGGTGGCCCCGCGGCCCCACCACACACCTCCCCAACCCCCACCCACCCCAACCCAACCCACCCC